ATTGCATCGATATATTTCGCATGCGGTTTATGACCGCGAGACAGTGAAGAGATGGAGGTGTTGAAGAAATAGACAAGTTATACTCAAGCATTTGTTGAATGTTCCTCGGTGAAATTCATCGAATTCCATTGGGGATTCGATATCGATGCGCTGACAACCAACGTCCATACAGACTTGAGAGAAAAAGACGAAACTAACCCACATGTAATCGGTCATGTGCCAATCTCAATAATTTTGAATCGATCACATTCGCGAATATTCACACTCGTGTTAGCCATACCCTCAGTTCCATTAGCCATTATATAAACTATTGCCTGAGCCCGTTTTCCCCATCTCCATCGCAGCCCCCTTCTCTTGGTCTCTCTCTCTCTCTTGTCACCAAATGTATGCGAATACATTTTGAATGCACAAGTGATGTCGTGTAAAATGTCTTCACCATCTCTCTGGCGAATTTGATTCGTCCGATTTTTGATTTTATTTCGCCACGACTCAATCATTTTGGCATGGAGTATATATTTTATTTTTATTCGACGGCCGCACACGCTAATGTTAAAACACATAAATCTGTTGCAAAAAAAAAAATAAAATATTTAGAGAATTAGACTGGAATCGAAAGAGTAAGAAAAAGATAAAGCGAAATTGCCGTTCGCGATCCAACTGCCACTTAATAATAAATAGGCTGATTTGTCATTTCACTCATTCGAATTCATCGTGAATGGAGACGCGAACAGGTTACGTGTGTTGTGTACATTTCTTTTTTGCGCTGTGTGTGCGCGTCTTTTTCAACATTTTACAATCTCATGTGCATTTTCCTTTGATAAATGTGAGGCTATCAAATATAAAAATGTTTCTTCGAATGGATTCCGTTCGTGTGTTGTTTTTTCTCATGCTCATTTGATTCATGTACTGTCGTCTTAGTTGCTCTCTTTCTTGATCGCGGTTATCATGCATATTTTCGTCAATTTTTTTTTGTTTGAAAAGCTCTATTCCATATCCGTTCGTGAAATTCTAAATAAATAATCCCGGTTTCATTGTGAATATTTGATGAAGTGATGGTTGGTTTTTTTTCGTGTTCAGTTTCACTTTTGGTCTTTGATATTCGCGGCCAACTGAGGTTACGAAACCGATAAACGTCACAAGCTTCCGCAAATTCATCTCAATTTGATAAAACGTGTACAGAAGCATTAAATGCATGAAAAAAGGATAAATTTACCATTAATTCTTTCTTTGGTGGTGGCAAATGCTATAAAATATCCTGTAACCGTCTTCAGTCTAATACGATGTGGCCTTTTGGTATGACTTTTCAAACCATGTCACCAAACCATGTGTGTGCCTATGTGTTCACTCGAATAATGGAACCTTGATTCACTTGCATATGAATTAATTAGCTGGAATGTAATCTTTTGACTTACGAACTTCGGTTTCGGTTGACACTCAAAACGAACTCGCTTTAAAAAAATTTCCTCTTTCTCTCTTTTCTCTCGCTCACCGAATTTATGTTTATGCTCAGTTCGAACATAAGGCACTTTGCCACTTGTGTCCTGGCTTGGGCTGTAAATTAGATTGGTGTTTTGTGTAAGTGTATTGTACGTAAGGTGGTGGCGAAAAGGAACACTGAACGATTCTCTGTGTGTCGTTTATAAAACGCTTTGATGTTCAAGAGAAAAAGAAAAAAAAAACCACTTGATTAAATGGCATCCATAAACTATATTTTAATGTTTCCTACTCGCCTCCAGCCGGGCCTAAACAAAACCTCGCGAATTTGGTGTAAATTATTTTGATCGCATTGTGAACTCTGTTTTTTTGCATGTTATTCAGATTTTTTTTTTATCTCTTGGCTCTACCGATATCGTATTTTCATTAAAAATACACTAAAAAAAAGTAGCAAAAAACAAACAACCAAGTAACAAAACAAAAATAAAAAACGCCGGAAGTTGTTGAACAAAGGGGTGTTTTTTGCATGAATTTCCAAACAAATATACACACAAAAAATGCTAAAAACAACGAAATCAAACGGTTAACTAACGAGCACACAAAAATAACAAAACTAATTTAAAAAGTTTGAAGTTCGATACACAGACGACAACAATGTCGACGACGATTACGTGGACAGTACAAGTATGTGTGTGTATGTCTCTATCTCTCTGTGTATTTTTCCTCTCATTCTCATAACATTAAAAAAAATGGAGTGAGTGCTGGTAAAGAAGTCAAAACGAAACAAAACCCAAATAAAAAAAAACGTAATAATAATCAACATGGTTGGAATGGGCATGCTGAAAGGAATAAACCATACACTGAAAATCGAATGAGAAATGCACTACTGAAAAATAGCACACAAAAAAGTCACCAAAAACACAACTAAAGTTTGTAGGGTGCAAAGAAGTAGAGTGATAGAAAGAAAGTGAAGAAAGGGAGGAAACAAATGAAAGGCATATGCATATAAAACGGTCAGTGTCAACTGTGACGCATGTAATCTACAACAGTCAGTTCTTCAAGTGTTTCACCACTTCACAAAAAAAGGTGCACTTATAAAATCCGTGCTACAAGCCACCGAAATGAGAACTTCAATATTCAAGAACTCCCGAAGCATCTAACTTGTTTCACACGATCTCTTCTTTTCCGGTTGTTTTTTTTTTTTTCAATATGTATTGCGAATGTTGTTGGACACCTTTTGCACAAACCACCGTTGTCACATTGAAAAATTAATGAATGCAAGTACAGCAACGTACATTTTACAGTACAAAAATATTATTATAAATCGTATTTGATTGCGACCCTTCGTTTTGCACAAAGACTTTCAATAAATTGCAATCGACACTCGATCACCTCACATCGATTTCGAATCATTTATTCTCGTTTTTTTTCGTACCGATTTGCATAATCGATGAAAACATAGTCGATTTGCCCGCTTTCTCTCTATTTTCTCTGTTCATGCTCTGTGTGCTGTTTTTTCGTCGTTTTGTCTTTATTCCCGAAATCGTCCAAGAAAATGATTCACCGCAAAATTCAGCATTGCGATAAGCCAACAAAATCAACATTCAATTACGAGGATTTGTCACGACAATCTCTCTTGGCTCAAGAGCTAATTTTGCATTCGAAACGACAAACGACTATTTCCATTCAATGGAAAATCCAAAAACAAAAATTCTTCTCGACTGAAACATGCAAACACAGTGAAAATAAAACATGTTATAAAACACTTAAGTAGTGAATCACATTTAAATATTTACCACTCATAGCATCAGTCACATTGAATGTACGGCTAAGCAATTTAGCCACCGAACCATTCAAACGAGAGCGCACATAGCGAGGGGCGAGAGAGAGAGAGAGAGAGAGAGAGAGAGAGAGAGAGAGAGAGAGAG